AGCACTCTTTACTTTGTTTACAGTGACATTTTCCTGTCAATACTTTGCTTCTGTAAGTCATCTTTCACTATTCCCCTTTGGATATCTGTGCCACATTTTCTGTCATGGCTTTGAACACTTCTCAGATGTTTAAATTTCTGTACTTGCTTAATCTCCCCCCCCCACACACACACACAATAATATGTTCTATAAATAATATAATAATATTTTTACAGGCATTGTTTTGTGAGGACAAAGAAGAAAGAATGTTAAAGACATAATGAATCAAAAACAACATAGTTGTTTTTTGTGACAGGTTGATAACGATCTATCATATTAGTAGAAAGCAGGCCATGATAAAAGTCATTTATAATTAAGAGAAAAGGTGCCATCTCATGTAACAATGCTGAATTGTATGTTTCTTTAGAGACTAGTCAAAGCCTTTACAGTTTTATTAACAGCATTCAGCAGATATTACACCTTTGGATTGATATTTATTAACCAGTTTTTGCAGAATTCTATTAGTGACAATTTCAATTCCTGAGAAGACTGCAGAAGACATATTGATCAGTTGTTAACTATGATAAAAAAAAATATAATAGGAGAAAAAAATTGTGAATTTGTTTCACACTTGATAGAAATTAGTGAATCAAATAAAATATTGTTTAATAGTCAGTATAACTTATAAACTTACCTAGTTTACAGTGTTGAACACATGTAAAAGTTGTGAAATTTCCTCCCATTTCTAATGTCTTTTATTTTCTAAGCTATTTTGATAAGATCTGTATGCAAACAAAATTTAATCTTTACACAAAACTGACAATTTCATAGTTGTGTTCAGTAATGTGCAGAGGTTTGACAATGCCTGGGGGTCAGCTCCTTGATTGTATGCTCGTAAGACTCAAGTAGTCGGGGGGGGGTCCTAGTACTAAAAATTTTAGAAGGGAAGACATTTTAAATATGTAAAAACTGATAAAATATGGAATAAACTCTTTATTCAAATATAAACTAAATTTTTATTTTCTTTGGTTAGATGACTACCTAATATGGATTCTCAGAGTTGTCTGATACCCCCCCAACACACACACACACTTCTGTATGCTACTGGTTGTGCTTTTAAAATTTGTTGTATTTCAAGTCATTTCCTTACACATATTAAAATAATCCCATCTTAGAAAAAACGATTTTTGTCAATTTGGTGGGCTTAAGATAGGGTTTGAAGTTGTCTTTCACAAAAAATTTCTAAATTGAAAACCTTAATTGATAAAATACCAGAGAAATTCAATGTTTAAAAAATGTAAATTGCCCTCTTTTTGTAGAGCAATGTCTTGTCTTTTATATCTACAACTTGAAGCATACATGAATCAAAAAGATGATATACTGCATTCATTTCATGTTGAGTCCAACACAAAAATTTTTATTGCTAACCAAGTATATGAACATTGCCAACTGAGCTACATTATAAGTCAAACCTGTTTCATCAATGGATACAATTTAAATCTTGTTCTTATATTTTCTTTAATCGTGCATTTCAAAACTGTATAAAGTACTTATTGCATTTTGTCCAAAGTGTTATTCTTGAATCATTTTCGCTTCAGCTGTTGCTTTTATGCATTTTCTTAAAAAAACAAAAAAATAACCCCATTAAACCAAATTCATATTATAAAACCAAAAAACAAATATATAAACTGGATCTATGTTTTGTGCTTTAAATTTTGCATTAGAGTTTTTCCGTAAAACATTAAAATAAAATTTTCAAAAATATTTTCTCTAATTCTTGGGATTATAGGATTAAATTGAAAATTTATTTACATTTTCTTTTTAAAAAATGAAACTGAATACATTTTATAAAAATAAAATAAAGAAATTAACTGCATATATCTGTAAGCTAAACTTTGGTGCATGGGTCTATAAAATGTCTATAAAAAAAATTGAAATATAGTTAGTAGATAATTTTCAAAATGTAATCAGTTTCCTTTTTTTTTCTTTTTTAATTTTTATTTGTTCACTAATTTTAGGGATTAGGTCCTATTTTGGAGGTTAAAATGAAACTGCTACATTTTTTTTAAAAAATTGATACATTTTATACTTCAACTTTTACAAATATTGTCTTTTCATAATTTGTTTTCCTTATGCCATTATCATAACAGCATTTTGGAAGGTAATAAGTATGACATCTTTTTTAAGCAAGTATCTATTCTTTTTTTATGTATTAGTGCTTTTCATAAACAAAGGAAGGGAGAAAAACACTCAGTGAATCTGAATATTCAAACAAATCTAGCATTTGTGATGAAGAAGAGCCACTTGAAATGACCTTCAGTCACAAATGCCAAAGCCCATGAGTTGCAGTCTACTATTACTCCAACTTTTACATTGACCAAGTCTTTGATATTACATCTCGCTCCAGTGCTGTAATAAAAAAAAGCTTACTTTCAACCAAAAGCAGAAATTATTGTTTTTGATGGACTTTGCTGGATGATACTGCAGAAGGTGGGGGTTGGTCAACATTTGTCTTTACCTGGGTTTTTGATATAATAGCACTTTTAAAAGATAATAGGATACAGAGTGTTCCAGGAATATTGAATTAAATTTCTTAGTTTTTATATCATTACTGCTACTTTTTTACAAGTTAAAAATTATATAATGTCACAAAATTAGTTACAGGTATCGGAAAAGGTATTTATATTACAAAGAAAAGAACTGTTCTATTGAATTACTCATTACAAAATAAAGTTTCAAAGTTTCATGCATGTACCTCCAGTGGATACTTTTTTTATTGGCAAATTCAGGCTGTCATTCTTGACCTATTGCCGCATTGTATTTCTCATGGTGTAAATAAAATATTGCAGTACTGATGAAAAAATAAGTAACTTTATCTCTGTTGCGCTATGAATCATAGCAAGATGTTACAAAGCATTAACTGCTGAAATGAAACTGATATGAACAGTCAAATGCAGTCCTGGTCATGATGATAAACTACATCTGGCAGCAAGGTCTCTGATTGGGAGATTGGAGTTTTTCAGGAGTGTGGAATGACCTCTTAATTGCTGTAAGTCCATCATGACTCTGGGGTAGTAGCCCCTGTTAGAGTCACAGCTATGGGCAAATAGTGAACCCCCCACACACCAAACAAAAACACTATGAAAGTATAAAAATACGTTTTAATAGTAAATAGTACATTTTTATATAAAAAAAATGACCAACAATACATTTTTATTTGTAATTGAAGGCATACAATTGTGTTCAAAATATTTAGATTTCAGTATTAAATAACCTATAGTGGTTGATATGCCTCTAAACAAAATCAAAAACCAACATTAATGAATTCTCTCATTACATCAATATAATATCCTAAAATTTATTAAATCAAACTGTATTTAAAAATACAACTGAAAAAAAACTACAGCATAAAACACACATATCACCACCTCTAATAATCATATCCACACAAAGATATGTATGCACAAAAGCTTAGTATTATCTACCATGTATTCAATTGAGAAAGCAAAATGACATTTTTATTACTTAAAAGCTCTCCACAAAAAATTAAATTTTGGCATTAAATTACCTATAAGGAGTTTATATACCATTAAAGAAATCAACCAACAGTCAAATGTGGCTTTTTTGTGTCATGTTTTAACTATTTCATTTTTGAGAATGCAGGTTTTCCCAATGTTTATATTGGACTGATCTAATAATTATTGATTTTCATTAGTATTACATTTCTTTTAAGTAAATATATGACATTACATTTACTATAATTTTCTACTTGTCTAAAGCAATCTTCAGTTATACACTGTTGAAAATTGTTTCTGGCCTAACAGCATACAAGATGAAAAACTAACTTTGACTGGTCATAACTTTGTTGCTACCTAAGCCAGCAAGATAAATTTAGTATACTTTTTTGATTGGTCAACCTCTCCATGCCTATATTAAAGGTTTTTGACTATAATGAAAAGAAAATTTTACTTTGGAATACCTATTAAAAGAATGTAAAAAAATAATAATTTAAAAAAATAAAAAATTTATTTAATAAATTAACCTAAATTTTAAGCCACCCCCATCCCCCCAAAATTACACACACAAACTCATGTATGCAAAGATGCATCAGTAAGTTTGTAGTCTGATACAATTAACCATCACGCTTTTCTTCCCCTCTTCCTCCAGTAGTAGTCTCATCAACTCTCTTTAAATGCTTTCCTAATATTACTATTTTTTTTTTTTTTTTTTTTTTTTTTTTCAAAATCAGCCAATCTGGTTATCTTACTGAAATGTTTTCACATCAACTCAGAAAAAGAAAAATGCTAGGACTTATGCAAAAAAAGATTGGGTCACTGTGACATGACAGTTTTTCCTGTCAGAATTCATCTTACCCATTTTTAAATCTACCATTCATCTGTACATTAAATATTGCTGCCATATCTGGTCTGGTGCTCTGGCTATATAACTCGAGAGTCTTGATAAAATCCAAAGAAGAGTCTGTAATGAAATCGGTCCTCAGCTAGGATCATGACATCAGTCACTTTCCCACTGCTATAACATGACAGCACTCTGTCTTTTCTACAAATATTTTCATGGCAACTGTTGAACTTTCCTCTTTGCAACATGAACCACATGAATTTAAGCATACTACTAGATTGGCAAATAGATCTCATTGTTTTACTGTTGAAATATCTTGATGTAACTGTAAGATCTATTCAAATAGTTTCTTCTTTTCTCGCACTCCTCACCTGTGAAACTTTTCTTTTGGTTTCTTATTTCCCTGCCACAAATTTAAAAATTTAAATGCAGCGTCAATTGCCATCTTCTGTCTTTCTGAATCCTGTTCTTTTATTGTCTTTTCTCCTCAATAAAGTCTTCCCATTCTCTTTCACTTCCAGTAACCCCTTGTGTCTTAGTGATATTATTTCTTGCTTGTAGTGAAATGATTTAAAAAAAAAAAATTGAAAATAAAAAATTTGCCCCCAGCAGTGAAATTGTTTGTGGGTCAGTTTTCTATATTTTTTGTTTCCCCTTTGTAGAGATGTAGCAGATGGTGTCCATGAATCAAAAGGTTGGCCAAGCACTGCCTATGGCACTTCCAAAATTGGTGTTTCCGTCATGTCTTTTATTCTACAACGGGAACTAGACCAGCAACACAAAGAAGATATTGTGGTGAATGCAGTAAGTTCATAAAACTGTTTTTTTTCCCCTTTTCTTATATATATATATATATATATATATATATAAGCAATTTTTCATTAATGCATGAATTAAATAATATAGACAAGTTTTGTCTATTTATTTTAAGTAAGTTCCTTTCATATTGTATGATAAGCTTAATAACATTATCATTGAAAGACAAAAGGAAATCACCATATTGATACATATTTAAATCCAATCTAAGCTTTTCGCTTACATAAGCCATATCAAAGATGACTATTACATTTCAATATATCGAACAACACACGAACAAAACAATGATATCAGTCAATATGAAAGGAACTTACTTAAAATAGACAAAACTTGTCAATATTATTTAATGAAACCTCGATTAATATATATATATATATATATATATATATGCCAGTTTTCATTGTTGTGTTGTTTTTAACTTTCCATGACTATACGTTATTACAGCCCATTGAAATTTGAGTAATTTACTGGAAAGCTGAAATAGGAAGACCAAAAATGACAAAATTTGATAATTCCAACAATGGAAAAATTATATTCCCATCTGATAGATAACACTCGTGTTTGTCTATTTTAAGCGATTAATATCTTATTACTAAAATTGTTATTTTAGTGGTTACATGTGTTTGAGTAGACATGTTTTTTTTTTGTGGTGGGGGGGGTAATCATTTCACCACAAGCAAGGTAATAATGCCACTAAGACACAAGGGGTTACAGGGAATGAAAGTAAATGAAAAAGGTCAAAAAGGAACACAGTTCAAGAAAACACAAGGTTGATTGACATTGCACTTAAACTTTTGAACATTGTAGTTATCAGGGAAGTCATTGGAAAATAGTGCCCACAGCTGGGAAATGCATGAAAAGAAACTGTTGCATCTATTTCAACAATAAAACAGTGAGACCTAGCTGCCAATCTAGTGGCACATTTAAATTCATGTAGTCGAGGGACCAGACGAAAAAAAATCGTCATCAGAACAATTGCTATGAAAATATTTGAAGAAAAGACAGAGAGAAGCCACATCAGGTTGGTGAGATAGTGACTGAAGTTGAGATGCCAAGCAAGGATCGATTACATTATTCTTTGGATTTTGTCCAGAATTTCAAGATGTAGAACATTAGCACCAGACCAGATATGGCAACATCTCTGTTTATCTGCACACACTGAAATTAACATCTACTGCTGTAGATAATCAAAAAAACTTATTAAATAAAATGTATTTGCCCATTCAGACAGAATTATATTTGATTCAATAACAATTTCATGATCTAGTCCATGAGAGGTTAATTTCATTATTTGAAAATAAACTGAGACGTCTACTCAAATGCATGTAATAATAATGATTCAAACTGTCCTTTATTATTTTATTTTGCTGTCTGGGTAACCTGGGTTTTGAGCACTTGTCTGTTAGTGTTTGCTTGTCAGGCTTCCTTTTTGCTTTCTTTGTTTGAATTTTTTTTTTCTTGTCTAAGGTGTTATGGTCGTCTGGCAAAGTTGCCTATTGATTACACCAACATAGTTGGTTTTTCTTTAGTATATTAATGAAAATATAATTTTAAAGTATGCTATATTTATGGGTAAAAGTGTTCAACATCAGGGATAGAGCATATGTAAATATAAAATATATATATATATATCTCATGATTGAACGGAATCTGTATGTCGTGTGTTGGCTCGACTATGTAAATATAAAACTGGACACTGAGATCAAAACTAAATGATCAAGCCAACATGCAACACTGTCAATTTTACACCATTTGTAACTTTTTGGTGTTTTTTTATTTATTAATTATATCACCCCAAGCAAGGTAATAAAGCCACAAAAATTCAAGGGGGTTACTGAGTGTGAAAGGATATCAGAAAAAAAAATTATTAAGGAGAGAGAACAATAAAAGAACAAGAATTAAGAAGATGGAAGATAACAATTGACATTGCATTTAAATTTTTGAAGATCAAAGTTGACTGGAAAGCAAGATGCCACAAGAGAGTTCCACAAACGAGCAGTACAATAGAATAAACTGTTATAGAACTTATGGTTACATCTATCCATTTCAACTATAGATTGATGAGATCTTATTTCTAATCTAGTACTGGGCTTAAATTCATAAAGTCTAGTTACCATAGAGAAAAGTTCATCAGAAGAATTACCATGAAAATATTTAATAGAAAAGACACAGGGAAGCTATTTTAAGGCAGTGGGAAAGTCACTGAAGCAGAGATGCCAGACCAGGACCAATAATATTGCAGATTCTTTGGATTTTATCAAGACTCTCTAAATAAATAGCAGGAGCACCAGACCAGATGTGGCAGCAATATTCAGTGCCTGAATAAATTGTAGACTTATAAATATGTAATATAGCAAGAAAAATTGTCTCACATGTCATAGTGAACCAACTTTCCTAGGAACAGACCTAGTAATTGATTCAATATAACTTTCTCACTTTATGCCAGTGGAAAACGTTAGCTCAAAAAGCTGCAATGAGTCACCCACTTTGAGGTTAACATGCCATGCTGATGGAAGACAAAGAAAGGTTCTTTTAAGCAATTAAAAGAGAGGAGTTTCATTTTGGAGGCATTAAAATTTACAAACCATTGCTTGCCCCAGTTAACAACGGAATTTAGGTCATTTTTGAGATCAGCTACCAATTTGACCTTATCAAACCAATCAGACTTATTATCTAATTATTTCTGAATGTTTGTCTAGTAGAATAAATGTAATAAAGAAATTCAAAAGTCAGTTATATATTCAGTACATTACTTTTTGTTTTCAATCGGTAAAATCAGTACAAGTAAATTTTTATTTATTTTTCATTTTATTTACTCTTTTGATTCATTTGAAAGAAAGCAAAGACAGAAGCAAGGTTTTCATACAACAGGCAATAGTTACTGGTTATTTTTTTTTGTTTATTTCAGTTTATCAGTTTTTCTATCTGGTTATAAGTTAGAGGCTCATTAAACAGATAAATCAATATGTGAGACAGGCTGCTGGATGTAGTTTATCATCATACCCAGGACGACACACTTGAAGAAGGCTGGTGGCACAATAGCCAAAATGTGATAATGACAGCAGAGTGATGAGGATGTTAGTCCAACTGTAAATAATGATAACTCCTCATGCTAGAAATTTAGACTAAAATCCTTATCTTTTTTTTTATTATCATAGTATTTCAGTCAATGTTTGCTCTGACCCTCATTAATTGTCTGTTGCATCCTGGGATTTTTTAACATCTGCATGATCCAGAGATTGTTACTTGATAAAGATTGACTATTGATCAACTTCTGATGCATGCTTTTACATTTATTTTCAAGTGCTGCCCTGGCTATGTGGACACAGACATGACCAGTCATAAAGGACCAAAAACTATTGACCAAGGTAATTAATTTTTCAGTCAGGATATGGTAAATTTCTGCGATTTTCCATAGAAAAAATGGTTAATTTGCAGTATAAGCACCAAAATCCCCAGATAATGAGAATGTGCCTGATTATTTTGAAAACGACAATAAATGTTTGTGCTCGATTACTGTCTAGGATTTATCGACAAAGTTTGATCACTTTCACATTGTTCAAACCGCCATTTCTGGCATTGTTTACATATGTTTAGCCTCAAGTAGTAATACACAGAAGTTTAATTAGTTAATGGCCTTTTTACTGATTTTTGTTTCTTTTTACTTGTCTTGATTACTGTGCAATTTTTGCAAAAGTTATTTTAAAATGCACTTTTTTTTTTTTTTTAAATGATGTTTTAAATGAATATTTTTTTTAAAAATTCCTTTTTTCCAATTGAAAGCTTTTCTAAATAAATATAAAAAAACATCATTAAAAAAAAAAAGAAAATGACTTTTTTTCTTTTTTAACTCTCATGCACTTAATTCTTATTTTATTTTAATTGTCGGATTTTAAGGAAACTTTCATGACACAATTTAAAAAAAAAAAAACATTGAAAAAATAGGAAAACATTTTTTCTTACCGTTCAGGCACATAATTTCTATTTTATTATAATTGTTGGATTTTAAGAAAACTTTCACAATACGATTTTCCTAATACGGTCTACCTTAATTTTAGTAGAATCCTTAACTATTAACAAGCTATCATCTCTATATAATCCAGTATTGTTAGTATCTACGGAATCATAGGCACTTCAACTATATAAAATAAATAATCCCACCAGGTCAAAAGCAGAGTCTAACAAACACATTGAAATGCCGAAGTAATCATTGGAAGTCTTTTTAGTCCATTGTTCCTTGTAGATCAGAACAGAACTTCTACATTTTAAAATTATGTCCAGTTCTTCATCAGAAATGTTGGATTATTCATGGGTAAACTTAGGTACCTCCACGAAATCGCTAAAAAAGAGCATAGCTTGATGAAAAAGACGCCAACCTTGCCGAAAACTAAATTTTATTGTCTAAATGCTTATGTTATTATTAAGAGGAAAGACCAAAGTTTTTTTTAATTATTTAAAAAAAAAATTCCTTCTTTTTAGAACATTCTAAATTTTGATTAAAAAAACCTTTTTTCTATTTGTATCAGCGGAACTAGTAAATAACATAGACAATTTTTAGCACTTTTTTTGGTATGACACACATTAATTTGAAAAATCGTGCAAAAATAGAAATAATTATTGGATGTTAATGAAACTTTCAGGAACTATTCACAGATGATCGAAATTATTATAAATATGTTTTTTTTTTATGAAAGTCATGGTAGAAATATTTTTTTAAAATATTTATTACCCCACTATAACTAATTTTATGAAAACGCTAGAAATTCGATCGCATCGGTTTTAGTGATTACAATAATTAAAAGCACAGGGCTTTGAGGAATGCAAATCATGTTTTTTTTTGTTTTTAATTGGATCCGCAGTACCTGAAAATCAGCTCTGAATTGTAACATACAAAACTCAATAAAACAAATATATTATTTAATTTCAAATGCTTTTATTTGCTTTTAGTTGTTTTTATGAATATGGACAATATTTTCTGAAAGCAAAAAATTTTTTTTCGATGAAAATGAATTTTTAATACAATTATTTGTTATTTCCTTAATTATAATAGATTTTACATTTAAGTTGTTAAAATATTATAAAATTAGTTAAAAAGCCACATTGGCTTTCATAAGTGTCCTTATGAGATAGATCTTTTTTAGCGTTGTAAATTGTATCATTTTGACTAATCAGAAGATACCCAGTAATTAAGAAATGTAATTTTGTGCTTATAATCGAGCTGTAATTATAAAATGCGGAAGACCAACAGAATATAATTAAGTTGGCGTTATTTGAGTTAAGCATTGTTCTCCGCTGTTAAGGCCTTTACTTTTTACGAAACACGTGTGGAGAAGTTAATTTGATTTTTCAATTTCAACTGAGAAGGTTACCTACAAGTATCACTATCATCTTATGAAATTTATATGATCTTATTTTTATATTAATCTCAGTTACGACATTTTTCCATAAATGAAATATCAAAATTAATAATAAAATGAATGCAAATACAAATAACAGTAGAATGTAATAAATGTACATACAATTATAGTATTTTATGTACAATTCTGATAAAATTTCATAAGAAAGGTACCTATAAATTAATTAGATACCTTTCTTAAGAAATATGAAATTTAATGTCACTCTTAACAGTTTTATTTTAATTTCTTTACAATATATTTCCCATAAAGCATCATAAACGTAAAGGTGAAAGCTAAGTACAAAAAAAAAAAAAAAGACCGCTGAAAGTTTTCGTTAAAAATAACGGGGTAAATAATTTGTTCACGTAAATGTAAATTATTTCACTTTTCTCCTTCCGTAGAACAAATTAGCCTCATGGAATTAAGTAAATATATCATTCATCAAATGTCAAGAGACGCGAAAGTTTATGACCTGCTTTGTTTTATTTTTCAAATTACATCTTTTTGGCACAAAAGCTAAGTTAAGTTTGGTTCAAAATATTTTAAATAAACATTATAATTTCTGATTTTCTTAAAATAAGTTTTGAAAAAATGATAATTGATATTTAAAAAATTTCAAAGTCAGATTTCCATTTTTTTTTTTTATGGAAAAAAATGGTCAATTTTGCTGACTCAAAAAAAACTAGATTTTTAACGAAAATTTGGACGTGCTAGGAACGATTAAAAAATGGAAAAAAAATACCCCAAAAAATACTTTGACCTTTCCTCTTAATAATAACAAACATTTAGATGATAAAATTTTGTTTTCAAGTTTGGCGTCTTTTTCATCATGCTATGCTCTTTTTTTAGCGATCTCGTGGAGGTACCTATGTAAACTCCAAGGCCAGAATAAAAAGGTCTTTGGAAATGGATGGATAATAATTAATAATATCAAACAGTATAAAAGTATGGTTATCCTTATTTTGAATTCCTTTGAACCAGTTAATAACGTCGTCAGTATAAACACACTGCAAGAGTTCAAGGGTACATTTAATAGACTGGTTAGTATTTTCCAAGATAGTTTTGCTAATTCTTCAAACTTCCAGTCTGGTAGGAATAATCAGATGTGTGGGTGAATTGGTTCTGTAATCCACTTTATGGTCCATTGAATATATGCTTAAATCCAATAAAACAGCTAACTTTTATAAGTTATCTCCTAAGGATTATGACACCCTAATTAAAAAATAATTTGACTAAAAACTATAAGAAAACTGACACCACAACTTTTAACCTGATGATAAAATTGTGTTAGCAAATTATGTATCAGTGACTGTGTCAGTAAACCACATGCTAAAGAAGCAGATATTATTATTTATTGGTTCTTTTCTTTATTTATATATATATATATATATATATATATATATAAATTTATTTTATTGTAACTGGATAACATAGACGTTAATTATAACCTACCCTTATTTGCTAGCAAACTATCATAGGTCTGTAACTAAATGGTATATCACAAGGCTATATGACGGGTATGATACAGGTTCGATTCCACATATTTTCTATGCATGTTTTCGGACATTCAGGCCGGTAAATGTTGTTAATACTGTTTATTATAAACAGAACAATTAATTAAATATTTGTATCTATAAAAATAACATATAAACATAAAATATATTAATAACTGTCGGACTGGTCCATTTCATAATATATGATATCATTTGTTGACCTTAAGATAAGCTTTGAGAAGATATGAACATTTGTGTAAAAAAAAAAAATCATGGAAAATGTGTAGTTTAAAAACAGTAATTTAACATTACTAACCAGAAGTTACCTCTGTAACTAAATGGTTTAGCAGGTCAGGCTGTATGACGGTTCCGTGTGGGATGCAGGTTTGATTCCTGTTGGAGGGCACATATTTTCTATGAAATTTCTTGGACATTCAGGGCAGTAAATGTTGTTAATACTGTTTGTTATAAACAGAGCATTACTTAAATATTTGTATCTATAAAAATAACATATAAACAGAAAATATATATATATATATATATATATATATATATATATATATATATATATATATATATATATAGGAAGAGGTTAATGCAGTTCCGAGAGAAAAGTGTGTATATTAAAAGAAGAGAGAAACCGCAAACGTTTTTTAATTGTAATGTAGATTTTTTAGAAAATATATTATGCTTTATTTTCCATAATTTTGCTACGCAAGTTTCATGACCATCATCAGGCAAAGGGTGGAGATTTCCACATATTATTAAAAATAATGAATTTTTTTTTTCCTTTATGTTTTTCGATGTGAAATATTCTCGATATGAGACGTTCACTTTTTCTGTTTTAGTGACCCAAATGTCTTTCTTGAAAAAGAAATGTTCAAGATATCTATATATTCCAAAAGTATGGGGCACTCAGTATAAATCAGATGCCCACTTCAGCTGTAATTGATCTTATGAGACACGCTTGCTAAACATTATGCCATGTTGAAGCACCTAAACATAAAACTGTGATGCGTTATTTTTATTCTTCTATTTCCAGGTGCAGACACACCTGCTTATCTTGCCCTGTTGCCCCCAGATGTTACTTCACCCCGCGGTGAGTACGTGACTGAGCGGAAAGTACAGACTTGGGTCTAAACGCCAACACTGCTGATTCTTGTTTTTGTTTGTTTTTATTTCTTTTGAGTCCCGCTATGATTCAATGCCACTGTTATACTCGTCAGTTTATTTTTTTAAAAGAATTCATCGAAAATATATCACAAAATTAGTTTTATATCTGCATTTTTTGCATACTCCTTTCAGTAATAAAGAGTTACTCAAACAACCAAGATGACTTTTCCGCTTTATTATTGTTGCATTTCATATCATTTCTGGCTTCAATTCTTCAAACCCCAATGCTACATAAACAACAGACTATTTTAATTTCTTTTTTCTTTTTCACCTTCCTTTATTATATGACAAACAATAATTGGAGCATCGTTACGAGAAGTGCTCAAAAATGATAGGCTGCATTTAAACTCATTGGCTAGAATTTTATTGCCATGTGCTGGCTTGCCCTACTAAGGAATCTGGATGCAGGAAGCATGTTGCTCCTAATTCTTGCAGTCATCTGTCTTTGCAGACTTTTGGTCTTGTATCAGAAATTTTACAAAGATAATCCATCAATGTGTCAGAATTCCATGCCCACAGGGTTCAAACCACAGTCACTTAGTTCTGGCAATCAGAGTCCTGACCAGTAATTTGCTATTCTGGGCCAACCTATGCGTTCTTTAGCATTAATTATTGGACTATTTCTGTTGACATTTACTTGGTAATCCTCATCTCCAGTGTATTTATTCATAGATGTATACTCTACAATTGTAGTTTGAATAAAGGAGGAAGTGTCATTCACCTGGATATCCGCAAAGAAACCAAGTAAATGAGGTAGGGGAGAGAGTTTTTTCTGATAGACGAAGAAGAAACCGCCCCAAGAAAATCAAGGCTAGCCCCGTTCACACAAACCAGACACGCCACAGTAACCTACCTTTCGCTGAAATTTGTCAGTAGCAAATGCTTTCTATCATGTCGGATCTTCATCCTGAGCTGATGCTCAAAAAATATAACCTGTTCCTGATGAGAATAGCGTTCACATCGCAAGATTTCCTCCTTCCGCGTCATCCAAATCACCATGCGCGATCAATGAGCACAAGCTTTTCAGGAGTGATACTCTTTTCAGAATGCTGACACACTGTTCCAAAGCATTTATTTCCCCAAAAACTAAATAAATGTACATGTCTGGTTTCAGGTCGACAGAGTGGGGCGCCCTATAGAAGCTTTTTATGCTGGACCATTTAAAGTCATAAAGAGACATGAAAAATATTTTGTTATTGAGCTCCATTCTGAAAATCATCAAAATGTGTCCTTGGACAGACCGAAGCCTGTAACACAGTAAAATATACATTTGTCTGTTCTAAAATCAAAGGAAATAACAACAACTGATAATTACACACCCACAGATAAACTATCAGTTGCGAAAAACGCCCCAGATGAAGTTTCCCCAAAATTAGAACAATCTCAAAGTTAACCTAAAAGCACACGCTCAGAAAAACTGGTAGCATTTTTTAAAAAGAATGAGTTTATATATGTCTAGTAAATAATGTATTTATAAAGCTCCGCTTCTGAATGCGGATGTATTGTGGGTGAATGAAAATACAATAATAATAAAAAATTAATGAGTTCATTTTGCCATAAAGAAAAAAGGAAACCAAAAAGGGTTTCCGGTCACATGTGAATTTTATGACCCAACTTCCGGTAAAGACATGGCCGTCTTCTTTTCACTTCCCAACCATTGAGTCAGATGTTTTTGGTATCCGTGACAACGAAGGCGAGATTCGGCCAATCTTACTCAATGTCAGGTTGACCATTCTCCACACATCCGCGTCTTTATACGTACGTGCGTCCATAAACATTGGCAATTCATTTTCTAGTCAAGTCTTGGTTTTGTTTATTTCGGTACACTGACACTGAAAATGTTAGGCGAGATGTCATAATCGATCATTCCATATTGAATAAATCAATATTTTGCTTCAATTTTTAAGATCAGTTTGAGATTTTTCTTATTAAAAAGTTGAATTTTAACACATTCAGTATTATGTATAAAAAATAGTGACTATTTTCATTATTTACATTATTCGGACTGTTATCCTAATCTTCATTGCCATATTCACAACGTTTCGGTCGCTCGTTGTACGCTCTGATGTTTTAAAGAAGGCCGGAGCGTACAACGTTCTGAATATGGCAATGAAGATGAGGATAACAGTCCGAATAATATAAATAATACAAGTAATCATAATACTTCATCTCAGTGATGGACAAAAAATAGGGAATTTTATGTTTGTTGTTTTTTGGGGGGGTTTGGATTTGGACGGAAAAAAAAATACAACAAAATGACGTCAAAATCTTAATTTTTTTCCATCCTTTAAAAGTCAGTTGTGTTTCATTTTATTTGTAACGTTTATAAATGTAGGTAGAAAAAGCAAATGTGAAGATAACGATTATTATTATTATTGTTATTGCTGTAGTAGTAGTAGTAGTAGAAGAATGCTGTTCATAAATATCTGTATAGTGTACAACCGATCCTCAAACATTTTGGGAACGAGGATAAAGTAGCAAGTCCAGATGGGATTATAATAGAAATTCTTAGCCTTGGGTGATTACAGCATGAACAAGGATCACAGAAAGAATGAACGAAATATATGACACGGCTGACGACAGAGAAGAAGGCCTTAATCGATCCGTCTGTGGTGAATACGAAATAAAAATAATTCTTTTCTTCAGTTTTCAAATTCGCGAGCCCGTGCGAAAATTTATTTTGACTAAATAGAAAAAGAGATCGACTCCAGGCTGAAAAAAAAAAAAAAAACAAGGCAAAGTTTAACGAGCCTGTGAAATCGATTTTTCATACAAACAGGCAGAAAAAGTTGAATCAAGAAGAGAGAGAGGGGACAGAAAGAAGCAAAGTTCCACGCGACTGAATACCGTCAGTGTCAAATTACACGCTGAGAGCAGGGCAATTTAAAAAAAAAAAAAAACTATTCAAAAAGTTAACTATCTTAAAATATATCTTGTCATTCGTGCTGAATACAACCATGTGAAAAACGAACCCACCTCCTGCAATTTGTTTCAAACATTGTGCAATATTACTTTGTGTCCGATGATTTAATCTAAATATTTTCTCTTCTTGACAATTCATCGAAAGGACGAACTTTAAATATTTGATTCCTTTTCCTGAAACAAGTTACTGACAACTCCAAATATCTAAACTTGTAAATAAATTCCTTATCTTGTTTTGTTAAATAAAACACGTATTTCCTCGTCATTATCCCTCAATACTTCAGGTCCATCGACATTAAAAAAAAATCCGTTAGCGGTACGAAGTCAAATAAAACCCTCCGCAAAATAAAAATCTTGTTGTTCATCCATCTGTCCACATGTTTGTAAAATTTGGGGTATTAGTCTAGGCATTCAAGGAAAGAATGGGTTGATTGGTGATTGTGGCATATGTTATGTGAGTGCAAGGTACTCCAAAGAGAGTTGTAGACTTGTGGAGAGAATATTCCCAGACATACGGGGAGATATGATCCAAGTCAAACGAGGAAAATAGTGCCATACGTGTATTTATTACAATGAAGCTATGACAGTCCTCTTATCTTTCTCTGGAGAGTCGGGTTCAAGGGAGATAACCAGAATACGATATTTATCGTATATAAAAAAAAATACATAATTTTGGCACAAGGCCTACATGAGGAATGGGTTGAAGCTGGTCGTAACTATCTTATACCTAGCTAATCCAAATCACGGGCCATTCACTCGTTAGAATTTGCACGCACACCACAAGAACCCATCCATCGCCAGTCAATCCTCCATATACTACAATACCATAATACCGCATACTCTCAGGGAACCTACAAAAAACACCCCGTGACATAAAAATTTCATGAGCATAAAATTCTATATCTAAAGATCTGTAAATGATAAGCAATGAGCGGGGAGGGGATGAACCTAAAATAACAAAAGCAAAATAAAGATAACTGATGTTAGTTGGACCCGACAAACCGTCCGTCAAAAAATTTAAGAGAGGCCGCTGTATTTTGCCTTTAGGCAAATTCAAGTGGCTGTCTCACTAAAGGAGAGAGAGAAAGTTAAAATAAATATGGCCATGGGGAAAATAAGAAAGCTGACCCAGTCAAGATGAAAAATGAGGGCAAAACAAACTGGGGAGGTTGGGAAGCTTGACTTGGATCATAACCAAAATAGAAGCTTGGAGCAACTCTTACATTAACTAGGTACATAAAAAAGGGTCTATCCTAACCAGGGGAGGGTTCCACAGAAAACCACCTCGATGTGACTTTAGGTAGACAAAAAAAAGAAAATCAAAGCTAGCCCTGTTCACGAAAACCAGGCTCGCCTCAGTCACCCCACTTTCGCTGAAATCTGTGGAAACCAGTCGCTTTCTATCAGTTCTAATCTTCATCTTGAGCTAATGCTCAAAGAATCTGATTAGATCCTGATGAGAATAACGGTTTCCTCGCAAGACCTCCTCCAATCGCGTCGTCCAAATCACCATTCGCGCCGTGACCAGCAGCAATAGAAACACCAACCGTTTCACCCCAGAATACGGGGACGACACATTGTCACACGTGTATGCGCGATCAATGATCGGGAGCGATACGAGCCGTCAACTCGCCGACATGGTCCCATAAAGGACGGACCTGAGGACAATGGTAGAAGTCGTGCGAAGCTGTTTCCTCTAAGCCAGGGTCACATCGTTGACAGTTTGGTAAATCCGCCAAGCCCCATATGAAGGCCTTGTCATTGAGAGATAGCCTATTCCGAACCAGTCGACAGGTAAGCGAAAACTCAGAGTTGCTGAGATAAGACCAAAACGATCGTAACTCGTTCAACACTAAATCAAGCAGGTCACGTAGTGGATCCTTCGCAACCCCCTCCACTAGTTCACAATAGATGACTCCTAGGACGAGAAAGGTCACTGAACCGAGGAATGACCCTCAAGGCCGACCGATACCCGAGAAAGAAACTCGATTGATCCCGGGACTTACGAAGGCGCTCTGCCCGCGAGATAGGAGGAGTGATAGTAA